TCCCAGTTTGGTATCATTAGCAAATTTGAGAATGGTGCATTCAACTCCCGCATCCACATCATTGATAAATACCTTGAACAGCTCTGGTCCTAGACTTGAACCCTGAGGAACATCACTGGTGACCAGCCAGCTGGTCCCTCACCCTCTGTCTTTCTCCTGTGCTGGGACAAGGGGGAACGCCTTGTTGCTTCCAGGCATTTTTCTCTCTGAGAAAGCCCAACATGCACAGAGCTTTTTCTACAACTCAAAGAGCACAGAGAAACTGTGGTCAGTAGAAATAAGAATACCCATTGAGAAAAAAAAAATCAAGTTCCTTTCCTTTCTAGCCTACCTGTAGAGGATAGATACAGGAACAAGCTACAACTGTGAGATTTTTGAGGCTGAAAGCTTGAAACAAGCAGCGTGCAGGCCTCTGGGTTCCAGCTTTTTGTGCTTAGTCTGATACTTAGCATGGCGAGAGCCATTGGCACTGTCTTCTGGCATTTGCTGTCTGCACCATCCCACAATTTCTTACAGAGGAACCAGTTCTCAGTCCTGAACAATGTGATTCCCTTTTTTTTAAAAAAAAGGAGGCATGAGTTGGACTGCTATAGGAAAGAAACGGTTGTGAATCCTCATGCTGTTTATATTCAAGTAGATGAGTAAAGGTCATTTATTGGTGTAAAAACTGGAATCTGTTAAGAACAACATTAGGGCAACAGAAAAATATGAAAACTCTGCTAATTAACAGGATGGTGCCGCTTAGCAGAAATTTTTCACAAGGCAGCTCTTTCCTCTTTATGTGGTCTGTTTTTCTGAACAGCTTCAAACAGTGCATGTGTTAATATTATTTTCAGGACAGGCTGCTGAGAATGCAAAGCATTCAAAGAATTGTTTTCTAGCAAGAGAGAATTTATGTTTTGAGAGAGCAGATTTCTCATCTCTAATACATCCTGCACTTGCACCATCTTGCTGCGTGATTAATAATACCATCAGCTCTGCAAAGTCATGAGAGTGCTCAGCATATGAAATGGAATATAACTGAAACAGTACATGTATGACTTTGGTACCAGAGGGAAAAAAGACCTAATAACTGAATATCTTGTGTCCAAGTACCAGGTTCTATTCCAGATATGCAACTGTCTCATTTAGTACTGTTGACTAAGCTGCTTACCTTCCACATCATCGATTGCCAACATGAAAGTCATGGCCTAGGATCACCAGGGCCCCCAAAAAAACCCGTTCTCTACCTTCCAAGTTTCCCCACTAATTTTTTATTAGGAAGTGAGCCAGAAATCTTGAAAATTAGCTTGCAAAGTAGAGCAGTCAAAACTCAAACTGGATTCTTCTCTCTGAGGAGACTGAGCAGTATGTAAGGTACCTACAATAGAGAATGTTGAGCTACAGAAAAGCTGACATTAAAGAGTAAGATTAAGAGAGGCAAAACAGAGCTTCACTCTAAGCTGCTGGCTCTTGAAACACAGATACAAATCAGAGGGCACTCTTATGCCAAGTTAAACAGCTGTGGAACTGGCACACAGGATGATCTGCAAAATCTGGGATTATACAGAATCATGGAAGAAAGAAGACAAGGAATTAAAAAAACAGTCAGAGAGAATGATATGCTTACACCAACGCTTACGCTCCATTTCCATGCTGACGAATTATGATGTGTTGCAAATGTCTCAAACACCAAGTTCAAAATTTGTGATATTGAAAAAAATACTTATTTTATTTCTGAGCCTTTGAGGATTTTCTCGTCTCATTTTCCAACATGAAAGCTATGAATGGAATACTTGAAAAAAAATAATCTTTACAAACAACCAAGACAAGGAATTAAAAAAAAGTAGGAAACTCTCCTAACCTTTAACACACAAGAAAAAAAAAAAAACACACAAAAGAGATTTTTGAAAAATCAGAGTATTGTAATCATATACAAATCAGAACATTTGTAAAAGAGACTTACCAAAAGATTTAAGTTAGCAAGTTTTTCTAGCAAATTTCTGTGACCCAAAATTTCACCTACAGTAGCAGAAAATTTTATGAGGTTAGATATTTTCAGCAAAGCAACAAAATAAGTTACTTGTTAAATGAAAAGAGTTTGAAAGAGTAAAGTGTTTTTGTAATTGGAACCTGACAAAAAGGTGATTGCCAAAGATGCACTTGAAGAGAAATTAACAAATGTGACCAATTTAACCATAGAAAAGATACGAATGTACGATATGGAATGCAATAAACTCAATCAGGTGAAATTGTTTTAATTAAATTTTGTAAAGTAGTCTAAAATTGCACACCTCAAAAGATAAAATTGTTTAAGACATTTAGATAAAAAAATGTTACAAGCACATTACATCATAGAGCTAAGTTACAAAATGGCATGTAAGTGTGAATACAACAAAATGCAAACTGTAGCTCTTACCTTAACAAAGCAATAGACTGCTTTTGCAAAGGCAATTTATAGTTTCTGAGTAAAATCAGGAGAATGGGTCTTACCTGGTTTATGACATTGCCTTTCACAAGAATGGAAAAGCAGCCGCCTCTTCATTTGTTTTTACGGTTTTGTGGGGGTCTTGATTTCAACTCCACGCAACCACAAGAGCTAGACATTGTCCCACTATTGCTGACTCCTACCTGTAAAGCCAAAGACGGTTTCATTGTAGCTGAATGAAAAAAAATAAAATAGCAAGAGGCAGTATCATTTACTTCCTGCTCCTATTAGTAGAACTAGCAGCAGAGGTTTTTGGCAGAGCTGTTAATGCTCATGTTTGAGGTTATGCCTTACCAAAGCTCCCAGATGTCACCACTGCAGCCTGCCAACATCCAGGATGCTGCCTCCAGATCTGCTCCTGATATTCCAGCCCCATTTGACCATATTTTTCCTAGACAAAAACAAGCTGATAATTCCTTTCTCTTCAGCATTTCTCAAGTAACAAGACAGAGTTGAAGGTAAATTTTCAACAGCCTGTCAATGTTACTGTACCTGCCTATTCCTATTGGTTTGGGGATCACTCAGGCAGCTCTCATTTGGAGACAAAAATCCAAGGCAGTAATGTGTACAACGAAGGCCCTGAAAGGAGCTACCCAGAAAAGTAACCAGGTAGTAACATCTCCCCATCCCTCATGAAGCTGCTAGCTATTGCCAGCTACGGCATAAGCACAGATCTGTGAACCAAAGCCTTACCACAGGAAGGACAGCTGAGAAACTGCATGCCCTCTGTCTCCTGCTCAGAGAACAGAAATGACCCCTTTTCCACTCAGCTGCTTTTTGAAAGATAATAGGAAAATGATGTGGCATAATTTGCTTTTCTCAAGGAGCTTGTACTCCCTTCACTTCAGCACCTCTACAGCTTAAAGTAGTTGGAGAGGTGCAGCCCATGGCCCCTCACTTCCCATCTTCCTGCCACAGCAGAGAAAGGAGGAACGTCAACACATCCCAGCCCTGCGTGCTTGCAAGCACATCACCCAAGCAAAGGCCAGCTTCGCTAGATGAGTTGTGATCTCAGCTGCACTGAACATTTATTTTGAGGACGTCTAGGTGGGTTTTTGTGGTTTCTGATAGTTTTAGACGCCAGTCCCAGCCTGTTTGGTTTGGTGACCCCTGCACACACTCTAGACGAATCCACCGAAACATAGGCTGTTCCAAAAATGAATGGTTTTGTTTTGGTTTTTATATAACAGCTACCCGCAGCACTCATTTAATGAGTTCTCATCGCTCTCTGCAATCTCTGTGGGTTATTTTGGCCACAAACACCAGCTATGTTGGAATTACAGACAATGACAGCATTACAATTCAAAGGAAAAATACTAGAGGAGCCTTGCTCACCAGATTTTATTGCTTTTTAATGTAAATTTATAGCAAGCATTCTGGGCTATTTACCTCTCCAGATGATGTAATCAAATTTTTTTATGTATTTACTTGAGGAATTAATTCAGTTTGATCAGTGAGACTGTTGCTGCTTTGCTTTTGTATAGACACATTAAACACAGAAGACTCCTTTTCAGTTTGAAGTGGAGGGAGAAGTCTGTACAGTTGCAGATACAGACCATCCCCATGAAAGTAGTGCCAGAGTTGAAAGCAGCCCACTTCTCACTGCATCTTGCAATTCTGCATATTGCATAGCACTTCGATATATTTATTCCATCGTCACTCACTGCATCCTGTGTAGAGAGGGATCCAGATTCCGGGAACATGAATTGCTCATTTTGGCCTTAAAGCCGCTTTTCACACACTCAATAATAAGCAAGACCTTCTTAAAATCAATGGACTGTGCAGAGCATTTACAGACAACAAATTATGCTCCCTATTCTGAAAGAGCTGCTGAATGCTGTAGCTGGTCATTACTATAAAAGTGTTCCACATCAAAAGACACCATATGGCTTCTTCAAACTTTCTGCTCCGTCACAGTGTATTATCCTGACATTTCATTGCTTTGTCTGCTTGCTAGTATGATATGTGCTAAATCTAAGAAATTGCTTGTGGGTGTTCACGGCTCCATTCAACGTTATACCCACTCGCCTCTACTTCCTCATGAATTTAATAGTTGAGGATAAAGGATATGTGTGTTGCATTAAGAAATATTTTTCCCATTGAACTACTTTCGATTCCCGTTCTGTTTGCTTGCATCAGAAAAATTTTTTCAAGGATTATTTTGCAAAATTAGCTGTGATAAGCTCTGTTGGTACTACTTCAGGTCAGAGATACAGTATTTAAGAATGAACTTTGGTGCTAGGCTCACAACATTAAGTAACAGAGATTTTAAATGGCTGTTTTGAAGGTTCTAAAGCAAGAGAAATGCAAAAGATGCACAATTTCAGCATATATCACCAACATAATCTGATACCTTTCCCCTTTCAAAACAGAAGATACTAGCAAGGTATCTGGTTTAAAAGTATCAGCCCATAGAAGGAGTGGGAATCTACTGTACTTCTTGAGCTGCTTTTTTCATTAAACACAGAACAACTGCAGGGTTATAAACTGCTACATCTGTTCATGAATATAATTGCTCTGTTTTCTGCTCTAGCTCAGCCTTGCCGCATGGGGAGGAGGCTACAACTTGCAGTGCCAGAACCTCCACAGCGCAGGGGAGGCCGACATTCGGGTGAGACACAGCCCCCAGCATCCCTTCTCTCCACATCCCTGGGGCAACACTTCCTCATTCATGGCAGTTATAAGGATGCTATTGGTGACATCTTTAATGTGCGGGTTTTAATCAGGTTGCCTAATAGCTGGTAGCAAATAACGGTTATCTTTTTGATTCAATACACATGCATCCTTGCAGTGGAAAGCATGACAGGGACTACTTTGAAGATTCATACATCAAGATCTGTGGTGCAAATAGTGTTGCTTGGCTATTAAAACAGAGGCTATTGTTCATTTTAAAAGCTGGAACAAGAATCAGTCATCAAAACTGTAACTTTTGTTGGGCTGTAGCTGGAAATTGATTTAAGGCCAAGTCTAAACTCTGGAAAATAAAGATACTTTTGCTGGTTTACCTCATCTCTAGTTTCAACACTTAAACTGTGACAAAACCTTATTTCTGCATCACAGTATTACCCTTCTGTCAGTCCTCACTTCCTAGATAACATCAGAGGTCAAGGGCATAAAGATTGTTTAACTTACATGATTTTTTCCTCAGCCCTCAAAATTTCTTGTGTTACAGCAAGGAAAACGTCAGTTAAATAACTTTTCCCATCAACAAGGTGTTTTCCCACTTTTTGTTTTAACTAGCTGTCTTTAACTGTCCTAGGACATATCTTGAGCTCTAATAAAGTGTCTCAGCTCTAGAGCATGGTATATTCCATTTTATTGAGTGTCAAATTTGGATTATTTAAAAAGAAGCTACCAGCACAATGTTTAGTGCCAAGAAAGAATAAATGCTAGCACCGTTAAAAAAAACCATAACTCAGACACGACAGTATCTTTGAAGAAAAATTAGAACAATTAGAAAACTCTTCCTCAAATTTTGTATTTCTTAAATTATATTTAGATAATGACATAAAAATGATGTGCTCTTTTCTAAACTATCTAAATCAAAAGGGAAACAAAATTTAAGTCAGAGCTTGTACTCCTCTTTCAATAGAATATTGAGAAGCCTTTTGGGAAGTTGCAAGCCTAGAGACTAAGTACAGCAATATTTAAGCCCTTTCATGGTCAGGTATTGATCTCCTGCTCCTTTGATCTTTCTTGTGCAGGTAGCCAACGTGCTGTGGTGGTATTATTTTTCCAAACTAATTGAATTCATGGACACTATCTTCTTTGTACTGAGAAAGAAAAGCAGCCAGATCACCTTTCTTCACGTGTATCACCATGCCACTATGTTTAACATTTGGTGGTGTGTTCTGAACTGGATACCTTGTGGGCAAAGTAAGTCTGTGTTCACCTCATCACCTGGGGTATGTCACCTACTGCTGAAGGGGAACCACATAACCAAGAAAACTGTGTCACTATGCTGTACTGTAGCACCTTTAAGGTTCAGAGCCTTTCAGAACACTTGCAGTCCTCAGTAAAATTAAAAGCATGGTTAAAAGTTCAGGCCAAAAAATATCTGAGCGTTGGACCCTAGATTTTCCACTTAGCTATCACAAAAATCCCATTTTTACTTCTCTTCAAACCACTTTTAGGGAGGATAACACTACTGAGTAGTACCCAAGAGCAATTACATATAAAGATCTACTATAGAAGCAGTTGTAGGAGGAAGTCATGACCCCCAGTAAACTCCGTGTCACTCTCGACAAATAAACTCAATAGCATTTTTTTATGAATTAAACCTCTCTCAGGACCCCCAACCCCTAGAGATCGATGTTAAGTAGGGGAAGTAAGCTGAGTAAAACCCCCATAATCCAGGAGGAGATGGTTAGCGAGTTGCTGTGCTCATAACTTTATGGGCCTCGATGAGATTCACCCAAGAGTAAGGAGAGAATTGGTAAAAGAAGTTGCCAAGCCTCTTGCAATAATTTATCAGCAGTCTTGGTTGACACAGCATCAAACACATGAACATACAGCAGATATAGAGTACTGCTAGTGGTCAATAAGGTACAGAGGGTATTTAATCTGCTTGAGACAGTGTTTACTAAGCATAACGAATAAGAGTGGCAAAGTATTAATTGAGGTGAAATTCTGGAATCATGCATCTAGCAGAAGAGCCACTGAAGAAAGTGAGAGCAATGCTCAAACAGAGCCACAAGAGGCTAGTTTAATTCAGAGCAAAGCCCTTACTCCATCAAGGAGAGGGTGTGCCTCCCAGGGCCCTAAGCTACAGTACCTGCTGCAAAGTCACCCACAGTCGTGTTTAAAGCTTACAGCAATAATGGAGAGATATACAAAGAATGTTTAGGAGAGAAACAAAAGCAATAATCTGGAAACTACAGAATAGAAAAAGCAAAAGGAGAAAATGAAAGATATGTGCTGAAAACACAAGATTCAGCATGACAAAAAGCCTGTAGGAAGTATCCTCCAGTTCGTCAGTCGTCCCTAGGATAGCACCTCTTCACATCAGGAATGTCTTTAGCAAAGGATAAAACACAAAGGGAAGCCTTACTGTATGCAAGAGACATCGCTGGCAGTAATCTCGTCTCTCACTTTTTGGGGATTTTTTTTTAATAGGTTTTTTTGGACCCACTTTGAATAGCTTTATCCATGTGCTTATGTATTCTTACTACGGACTGTCAGTGATCCCTTCTATGCACAAGTATCTCTGGTGGAAGAAATACCTCACTCAGGCACAATTGGTATGTATCTATTTTACCGTCATTTTTTAACCTCCAGAAGTCCATCAAAACACCAGACAAAGCAAAAGTAATGATAGATTAAAAAAGTGTCATTTACAGAATTCAAATAAAATAAAACTATCATAGACATTGTCAGTAGCGCAGACTAGCATAGCTTAATAAAGGAAACAATGCTCAAATATTTTCTAAAATACAGTGGAAACTCTGCAGTCCATAAAATTCCATTATTTTGGTCTCTTCCATAGCAAATGGGTACTGCTCAATCATGGCAGATGGATTCTGCTAAATCATGGCAAATGGACTAATTAAAAAAAATTATAAAAACTGTCTGACAGTCAGCTCCAAGACAGACCCACTGCTGGTCAAAGCTGAGCCCATGAGTAAAGCTGGGGGCACCTCTGTGATATAATAGCTAATAAAGGCTAAAAATAAATGCTACACAGCAGCTGAGAGGGGAGTGAGAAAATGGCAGAGAAACAGCCCTAAAGACACCGAGATGGGGGGAGGGCAGAGATTTCCTTGCAGCCCCTGGACAAGAAAATAGCAAGGCTGGTTGTCCCCTAGCAGCCCATGAACGCCCACGGCGGAGCAGATCCCCACCTACAGCCCGGGAAGAGCACCATGCTGCAGCAAGTGGCCATGCCCTGAAGTATGGCTGTGGAAGGCCCCATGCAGAAAGAGGCTCCTAGCTGGAGCTGTGGCCTGTGGAGAAGAGCCCACACACAGGTAGTTTTTTTCTAGCAGGACCTGTGGGGCACTCACCCTGGAGCAGTCTATTCCTGAAGGACTGCATCTCATGGAAAGGACCTGCACTGGAGCACTTGAAAAAACTGCAGACCATGGGAAGAACCCAAGTTGGAGATTTTTGTGCAGGACTGTCTCCTGTGGGAGAGACCCCACAGTGGAGCAAGGGAAGATTTTTTTCCAATCCAAAGAAATAGTCACTGACTGCTCATCCCCAAACACTGCCTCCCAATCCAACCCCGTCCCCGTCCCCGTTTCCTCCCCCTCGCCTCCCATACCACTTGGGAAAAGGAAGTAGGAAAAGTCAGAAGTGACAGTGAGCCTGGGGAGAAAGAGGCTTAGGGGAAGATGGTTTTTAGTTTTATTTCTCACTATCCTTCTCTGTACTTAATTGGCAATAAATTACATTAATCTTCCTGAAGGCAAGTCTGTTTAGCCTGTGATAATAAATGGTAAGTTTTACTAATTACCCTCTCTCCGCCCTTATCTCAATCAATGAGTGAGTTTTTAAAAAAATCTTATTTTCTCCCCCTGCGCTACTGAGGAGAGGGAAGTGAGCTGGGTGGACACCTGATAGACAACCAACATTAAGCCACCACACTGTGATACAACTACAAAGATGTAAAATAATGTAAACAACTTCTTAGACAAGACAGAAGTTGTCTGACTTTTAAAAGTTTATTCCAGCAGTTCCTGTGCCAAAAGGGCTAGGCTACATTAAAAATTTGTATCAACAAGATAAAAGGCTTTATTTGAAGTAAAAATCATTCCAGTTTTTTTATGGTAGGGCCTCTTCATACTATTTGGGACTTCGGATGTTTGCAGTTAGCTTATAAACACCTGTGGAGAAATATATTTGCCAAATGCTTCTCTGAGCTAAGACCATCTGTGCAGCTGAAACACACCGCTCGATTTGAAATGCACCCCAGCACACTGGATCGCGGGCACAATCAGCTGGCTGGGGAGAAGCAGATTCACCAGCGTGGCATGTGCTTCACAATCTTAACTACAGACAGTCTGCTGCAGTTCCTTCTCCGTCTCGTTTTTGCTTCATTTCTCCCCATCTTGTCCACTAATGCAAAAGTCAGCCTACCTAAAATTCTCCTTAGACCTGTGATCTCCATTTTTTGTTCGAACTTCTAAAGCAATTGCCTGGAGTCTTCAGTGTTTTCTCACGTTTCTGCTCAATTACAGAGACAACACTGTAGCTGGCACATCACGGTCTGGAAGATAGAACTAACCCTACTAAAAAAACTTTCATGTTGCTAACTAGGACTATAAAGTCATATTTTTAGAAATCTCTGACATCTCACTTTTTTTAATTTCATAAGAGCACCATTTTAACTTAACCTTCAGAATAGATACACAAGTTAAGAAAGAGATCATTTCAAGAGTATGCAACACTTCAAAAACAAGAGTAGGTGTTAAATTGATTTAGCTGGAACGAACCCCTTCTCAGTAAATAGTCATGCATGATCATTCCTCCACAGATCCAATTTCTGCTCACTATTGTGCACACACTAAGTGCAGCTGTGAAGCCATGTGGATTCCCATTTGGCTGTCTCATGTTCCAGTCCTCCTACATGACTACGCTGGTCATTCTCTTCATAAACTTCTACATTAAGGTAAACAGTCTTCCAAGCTCTCTCTGACAAGGATGGGGGAAAAGCATCAACTTTTGGCTAGCAGTCTTTATGAACTCATATGTAGACTTAGCATCACTACTAAAAACATGTTTACATTAAAAGATATATCAGTTAAGGATGATATATACAGTAGTGTCTATAATAGAGAGTTATTCAGTAACGATGACCCTCCCATTGCAGCTCAGCTCTTTCGTACTTGTACAGCAAGCCAGATACCGCATTCAGGACTTAGGAGGTCTGGATTTGCTCTGTTGGGCAACTTTTTGAGTCTTCCTCCTGGGAAAAAAGAAACAAATATCTCTGCATTGTTTATTTCAACTTTTTTTTTTAAATCAGGAACTGCTCCAACCTGCCTGCATACATACAGTTTTTAGTGAAAAGTGATTAGAAGTCTCTTTTGACATTTAAGTAACGTTCCAGTAATACTAGTAAGGTAATACCACTCATGGCAGTGAAAATAATAGAGTTTCCTTATGCTGTATGAAGCAAATATATACATCTGCATCAACAAACACCACACAGCTCCATTTTACAGTAAATCATAAGCAGTGTTCAGGCGGCACTAAATAAATCCAAGTATTTACTTTGGCTTTTGCTTTTACAGACATACAAGAAAATACCTTCAAGAACAGCCACAAAAGAAACCCCTGTCACAAAAGAAATCAAGAATGGTTTCCATAAAGACTACTTTGCTGCTGCCAACGGATTCCTGAACAATAAGAAAGCACAATAAGTATAGTATTTCCTATGATTTTTTCTAAAAAAAAGACTGAATTATAAGCTTTAGCTTAAAATCTGTTTGATTACATTTATCAATTCTTTGTACCAGACAGTTATTAATGTACTGCTATTTAGGTTTTTAACAAAACAAGTAGAATTACTTGTCCTGTCAAAGATCACCATCAGAAAAAAGGCAGCCAGTATCTTTCTCATACAAAAAAGAAAACATTTCTGATTCCTAATGCTGAAACAAAAAAGCCTTATAAAACACTTGATGGATAAAGCCATCAATGCTTTCAGGTTAAGACTCTAGTCAGAATAATGCAGTGAGCAATTTATGTGCACGTGAGGCGTCTTGAGGCA